GTACCTGCTTGTCAACTTAAACTTTGTTGGTGAGTTCCTGGAGATTTCTCCAAATCGATTAACAAAAATTATGTATGGTCGTATTAACATGTGATCAAAAGATTTCAGGTCATAGCTGCATCCTGATAATCAGCAATCCCAGCTACTACCTGGAGTGGTCATCCAGAAAATTTGACCTCTAAGAACTAATGAAACAGAAATGTAATTACTCACATTTTTGCTTGACTGTTATTATTAGTTACAGTTTGTGCTGTGGTTTTGGTACCTGGTACCAAATTCAAGATCTGACTACTACTGTTACCAGATACCAGGTAGACATAACAAGAATCAGTCTCTGCTCAGAAAAACTTAAAACCTTCGTGAACTCTATTTCTTCTGTCTGCAGTGGACCAAACAGAAAAGATAACACTTTCCCTGTTGTCAATTTTTTGTTGTCACTTTTGCTTCTTTTTGCTTGGACACTGTGTGAGGGAAGACTCTTGCAAAAAGAACAGAAGCAGGCAATCAGCTCAATATTGAATTATTTATAGCAGTATTGCTCAGGCAATTTCCCATATTGGATTATAATTTAAAAAATATGAGTTTACACTTGAAAGAGAAGCTTAGTTGACAGTGGATTGCCAGTAAAAACATTTCACAAATGCAATAAACAACCAATCTGTAACAATTATTTTCTTAAACTAATTTTGCCTTCTTTGTTCACAAACTGCCTGTATTCAGATTTTTAATTTCTCAAACTTAGAAGCTATCCATAACTATTCTTGGAATAATTTCTGAGAATAATTCATATGCTTATCTCACTTGAAAGCACTGATAACACATATCTGGCAACTGACATTCAAGCTGTTTTGATTTGGGACATGTTATCCCCTGACTGGTTAGGCACAGCTCCCACAGTCAGTTTTCAGCTACAAGTATTTGTGCTTTTTTTTTTTTTTAACTGAAAATGCAACTGTAATCACTATGCATTAATTTAGTAATTTAGTCACAAGCAATTTATATGAGTGGATAGTACACTCATGTCAGTATTTCAGGCAGATGAAATTCATTTGCTGAAGCAGTTGCAGAAAGTGGTCATAGAAGTGACATGAATGAAAATGAAGTTAAAACTTCAAAAGATTTTTCCTAATGCCAGCTGAGCTCTGTAGAAAATAATCACTGCAGAGAATTGCCTTCCAGGATAATGAGAGCCATCCAGTTGCTTGAAAATTAAATATTGTGCATGTGTATATGTATATATTAAATACATTCATCCTCCTATTGAGGTAGTGCAAGAAACAAACAGGAAGAATGCATCTTTTATTTGTTGATCATATTAAGCTTTCTGTGCAATTTTGCAATGACTCTAGTAGCCAGTTAAATAAAAATTACAGGATTATGTAAGGTGAACTAGAGTGCTGGAAGCACCAGGGTTAAATCATGCATCTAGTCATACATACATACATACAAAGCTTGTGGTTTACAACTAGGAAACTACTTGAAATGTTCAGAACAGACAGATGAGATACCAGCCATGTCTGGCAGACAGCCCTATGAAAAATCTTGTGTAATACAATTCATGCAGCAGCATTTTGGCATACTGCCTTCTCTGCTGGGTAGAGGAGGGTGTTGGACTAGTGAGTGGAGTTACAGGAGAAGGAATCCCAGAACTCTCATCTGTCAGCAGATAAGATGCTAATATTTCTTCCTGATATATTTTACAAAACAAAGTGGCTGCATCCACAAGTCAGCTTTAAAAGGAGTGCATTTGGGACCCAATCCAAAGGCCAGTAAGTTATCAACAGCTGTCCTGTTTTCAGTCATAACAGAGGAGGGCCATGAGCTATTACCAGCAATATAACATCCAGCAAAACTCAAGACTTGCAAGAGCAGGTGAAGATTCATTGTTATATTATTGTTGTTGCACATTTTTTATTAGAGAAAAACACACAGTTATACAAACAATGAGGATGTAAGATAAAAATCTTGCACAGTGAACATTCCAAACTGAAATACATTATCGACGGAATACGAGGTTCCAAATACACAAACCATTATAATAAGAAACAAGCTGTATCGCAAGTGTAGAAAGGAAGTGGTTTGTTATACACTGCATATTTGATGCCTGTGAGCACAATACTTAACATATTTCTGAAAACACATAATTCATTGCATAAAACATGATAGTGATCCAAGAGCTGCAACTTCATTTCCCTGAACAATATGTATTTTCATAGATTTCAGCCAAAATGGTATTCAGTCTCTTGCCAACTCATACTAGAAACTGTTCAGGACAACACCTAAGTGAAGAAAATGTGTTTCTTAGTATGAAATACCTGATTTAAACTCACATTTTGTGAGTCACACTGCTTATCCATTAATGTGTGTTTTTTTAAACCTTTCTGAATATTCACTGTAATTTATCACATTCATTTATTTGTAACCATTTTACTGTATTTTTTAGCAAAGTGAACAGTGAATGATGTTTAATAAAAACAGGTTATAGAATATGGCTTCACGTACATAAGGTCTTTTTTTAAATTACTGAATTACAGAGAGATGTAGCTTGTTCACATTATGGCCAACTGTGAAAGGAAACAATCAGCAAATAAATTCAGCATAAATAAAACTTGTTTATATAATTTTAAAGTTCTCAGGCTGTTCCTGGAAAATACAGTGATCATGAGCTCTAGAAACCTCAGTCTCTCTTGATAATGCTAATTGGAAACAAGACACCATTATCTGTCATTAGCATTCATTACATTCAAGCAACAAGAAGTGTAATTTACTGGAGTACATGCACCCACCTGAAAGCAGGATGCAATACATTTTATAAAGCAGGTAAGATTAACTCATTAACAACTTCTCAGCTTTTACTTCTAAATTTTCAAAGCACTGCACCATAACACCAGATTTCTGAAACATAAAGGTCTTGATGTGCCATGACTTATTTAGTAACCTTCTAAATGTACCTGTCATGGAAGAATTGATCTACATGTGACTGTGAATCTCAGAATTAATTATTTTTATATATCAAATGGCTTGCAGACTGAGAAACTTGATGTAATTTTTCGCTATGCATATGATTTTCTTTGCAACAAAGATCAATGATTTTGTCCTCATTCTTATTCTGTGGGTATGGAAATTAATAATAAATATACTGTTAATCTTCATAATCATAACCTAATTATGTTTAACTTTTGGTTTTGGTTAGTACTTTTGAACCTGTTAGTTTTAATGATTTGGGATCAAAATGTCCATAAACTTGTGATGTCTTCATGCAGATAAAGCCAGTTAAAAAAGAACAGGAAAGATGTTCCTTACTTGAGAGATTAGGGCCTCCTGAGGTGCCTTCCAACCTGAATTAGCTGGTTGGATACCTATTATATGAGAAAAGACTCAAATACAGAGACTCTGCATCTAAACAGCAACCTTAAAAGCTGACATAGGCTTTTAACCTCTCATTAACTGGGACTTTTCCAAACTGACATTAGCTAAGCAAAAAGGAATTCCAGTTTGACTGCGTCAACACCATGGGAAACCACACAACTTGCTATCCAAAAGGCTGTAGAGAATGGTGCTTTAAGGCAGTTTAAGCAGAGAGCTACAAACAAAAGATTTAAGATTGAAGCCACAAAACTGTGACTCTTTGGTCAACAAGTCACCTCCAGGAAAGGTGATGTTCACCAATGGCTTTAGGCACAGGAAATCTCAACATGAACAGACTGCATTAGCCTTTGATCAATCTCTTTCTGCACCTGCAGGAAGCTGCTGGCAAGAAACCCTGGGTTAGCAACATTTCCATCTGGTTCCCTGGCTGCTCTTACAGCTTCTGTGATATAAGGCAGCAGAATCTTGCAAGAACTGAAGAATTTGAGTACTTCTTGTCCCATCATATTTTTGTTTTTTTATTATTTTGGGGGTTTGTTTTGTTCTTCCTTTCTCTCTTTTTGTCTTTGCTTTTACTTGCTGAGAGAAGCATCTAACTTTTAGTCTTTAACTGTGAAGCACAAAATGTGGTTACAAACATAAAATGGGCCCACTAAAGCCAAAGCTAAAAGGCACAAGAAAGGGTTCATCTGCTTTAAATGCTACTAACATGTGAATCCATATAGCTGAAGTGTTCTGTAGTCTATGAAAAGAACCTAAGAAAAGAAAGGTCCTAAGAAACTGAAAGCCTTTTATTTAGACCTGTTGAGCTACATTTAACAGATTTTTTTCTTTTTTTTTTTTTTTTCTGTAAGGACATTATTGTACCTTATTTTTCTTTCTTTCTGGTTGTACTTTTTAACTGTGAGAGTATATTCCAGAATATTACAGGATTTTTTTAATTAGGAAATGTTTGGGAAAGAGCTAGTCAATTTAGAAAAGAGGCTTTTGGTCAACCTTGGAGTTGTAACTCAGCTATTACAAGAAGCCAGTCAGTCTTTTTTTTTTTGTGAAACACTCAATTGGTCCAAACTAGAGATTCAGCTCTTGCCAGTGAAGTTCCATGGTTCAGCATCATAAACAGTTGAAAAACTTCCAACCTAGCCTTTGAAGAAGCAAAACTAACTTCTGAGAGTCTTCCCTCTCTGTGTTCATAGAATAGTTAAGGTTGTAAAGGACCTGAAGATCATCTAGTTCCAACCCCCCTGCAATGGGCAAGGATGCCTCACTCTAGACCATGTTGCCCAAGGCTCTGTTCAACCTGGCTTTGAACACTGCCAGGGATGGTGCATTCAGCTTCCTTGGGCAACCCATTCCAGTGCCTCATCACCCTTACAGTAAAGAACTTCTTCCTTATACCCAATCGAAACTTCCCTTAAGTTTTAACCCGTTACTCCTTGTCCTAGCACTACAGTCCCTGATAAAGAGTCCCTCCCCAGCATCCCTATAGCCCCCCTTCAGATACTGGAAGGCTGCTAGGAGGTATCCACGCAGCCTTCTCTTCTCCAGGCTGAACAGCCCCAACTTCCTCAGCCTGTCTTCATAGGGGAGATGCACCAGTCCCCTGATCATCCTCGGGGCCCTCCTTTGGACTTGCTCCAACAACATGAGAGTGGCAGTCAACAACACTCAACAACATGAGAGTGAATCAATATTATATTTTAGGATTGGTGCTCTTTGAAGAGGAATTCATGGCTTTTGCTGCTGCTTGCAGTCAGCATCGTTACGTCAGACAAATAGAGATAAACGAAACTTTAGCACTCCTTATACATATATTCCAGTCTGGTTTAGCTTCAGGTAACAGATTCTTCAGCTGAACTAACATGCAGGATAATTCATAAGGATCCCCAGAGGTGGGATTTAGCATTAGTAGGCAAATCTCATTCTTTTACACTTCTTTAAATGTGTCATTTAAGGTCGTGGTCTCCTATCTGCCCTTATTTTTCTCTTTCTGTATATCATTTCTGTTGAGTAATCCTTGAAGTTTACAACTTTCAACATCAACAGTTGATACAATCAAATACTATGCTAACATGATCCTGTCTAATGCTACTGCATTTATGTGAGACTGCATTTGTTATGCTTCTCCATCCCACACAAGGGAAGGAGCTAGCAGGATTTAACACATAGCTGGGCATGAAACAAAAGGTATTTACACAAAGCATTACAATTCTTGGAAGACAGGTGACCTAGATTTTCATTCACATGAATTGCAATATGTGCAATTTTTATAAAATAATATTTCATAATATTTCATAATGGAAATGTGTGAATGAAGAAATAATCCTCCAAGGAATCTGAAAGTTACACTGAAACATCTCTACTTAACAGAGCATTATATCCATAGGAAAGATTAGAAGTCTTCTGAATAAAGAAACTTCTTGTAGGATTCAGACTTAATTTGTAAATATAGTTCCTTACCAAACAAATCTTTAGAACTAATAGAATATTATGGTTAACAGTTTAGTGAATAACATCTCCCTTTTTCTGAAAGCTCAAGTTTGAGTATATACAGTATTTTTAACAGAGAAGAATGTCTCCATTAAAATACTCCCTGGATTTACTCAGTAGCTTATGACATGCCTGAAGTTAAACTAGATCTCATCTTCCTCAAGCATTTTTCTATGTTTGATTTAATACTACTAAAAATCTGAATTAAAATTAAAAAAAGTTAAGCCTATAGAGTTATATAAGCGAAGGAGTGGCGAGACATCACAGTTGCAACATGGCTCTGGGTTCTGAACTTTTTGCAAAATCTTAAATAGAAACCAATCTGCCATTTATTTGCAAAAACCACAGACACACGGACATTTCTGTTCAAATATTCTCCATGCCACTGTACTTTTCTCATAGACACAGAACTATGACTCAGTATTTCAGAATATAATATGAAGTTTCTGCAGACACAGTATTTGCAAAGAGAATGATGCAGAATTTTAGGAATCCTATTTAGTTTTACAGGAAAACTTTTTTCTACTTCAAAGTAATGAAATTTGATTCCATTTTGCTCATTGAATCAAATAAATGAGAAGTGGCATTTGAAAACAGTTTCTGATGACGAATGTGATAAGTGGATTGCTGTGAAGATACATAAAATGTCATATTCTAGGCTTCCTGGCTTGATTGATTTCAACAGGTTGGAAATAAAATACAAGGAAATCTTTATTTATGAACAGGTAGATATAAGCACAAAGCCAAAATGAAATATGACAAAGTATAAATACAATGCATACTGGTTAAAAAGTGAGAGAATGCATCATAAGGAAAATAAAAATGAGTATCCCTTTTACTAGGAACCAGTGCAACCACTATACCTGTTGCAGCTTGGATTGTATTTATATGTCTATATATTTTACTATATAGTAATATTTTGATAGTGAGAGAAATGAGTAAATCTCTGATCGTATCACCAAAAGATTTAACCATGTGAAAATCTACTAAATAAATTCACAGTCCTGTCTAGCCATGATTTGAAACTAAGGACGAAATAGAACTATGGACATAATAGAACTTCATTGAACTATGGACAATTCTCTCCATAACTAGTCTGAAGGAACTACAACACAAGTAGTCAAAACCAGTGGGACTGACTGATTAAATAAAGGTATCTGATCAGTGCTTTAATAATTTATTCCACTTATTCCACATTCAAGATCACTGACCTCTCTCAGTGTTTTCCTTCTGAATGCACCTGAACATGTGAATCTGAGAGATGCTCTGTACTAAAGCTCCTCAGCAAGACATTAAGCAAGAGAATATGTCTTTGTCTTTAAGACTGTTCAGAAATGTTGAATACCTTTTTCCTTGGTATTCAATTCAATAGACAAAGAACTTACTATTACTGAGCACTTCTGATATCTTTTCCTTGGAACATCCCCCCCAGCATTATAGCTGGGGATTCAACTGGAGTGAGGGTAGATACCTGGGCACCTCAGGGAATACTAAACTACACTACAAGTGGTAAGTACAAATACACTAGAGACAGTGGCAGACTTACCAGAAGTCTGCCAGGCTTCTTCCCTCTTCCCAAATGTCTATCAGCAGGTAAGGAAACTAATAGCTGTCATTTGAAGACCTGAATCCAGAAACAGGGACCAGAACATACCTGCTGTACAACAGTCATTTGCTACCAGCAGTGGTTTTCTCAATTAACTGTTCTAATTATATTTTTCAGAAGTCTTCAAATGAAATTACTCTTAAAAAAAGTATCAAAAAAGGTTCTGCACATGATGGAATATAACAGTAATTTCTGTCATATAGGTAGAAGCATTTCAGTTATTTTGCCTCTAAGACCTTTGAACAACGGATAAGGTTTTCAGTTGTACAACGGCAGTGTAGTAAAGTGCTGATCACCTACTTGGATTTCTAGACTTTACAGTGATGCTAACAAATTAATGATGTTACATTACTTACAAGGACAAAGGCTGGCTCTAAACCGGGGGCTCCTAAACAACTATCACATCAGTAAAAGCTATGAGCAATCAGAATGCTGCTGCTTTCTGTCCCCTACATCCACAGTATCAGGTTTTATAACAGTTCATTATGGCATAATCTTGGAAAACTTATTTACTCTTCTCATGACTACATATGTCAGTGAGAAGACTTACAAAACAGATTTTGTATTGTAATTTGCACTATTGTTGTATGTACTTTGGAGCTGTTGTAACAAGGCTACATCAATACTTGAAACTCCTCAGTCTCTTGATAATTTTGCATCTATGTTGTTTGGCTTTTTTTTTTTTTTCCCAATGAAATTTCCCCCTTTTCAGCACAAGGAGACACTCCAAACCAGAAAGTTCATCCAGTGCTGCACTGTATTGTACTATGAGATGTATTATGGTCTTGTTTGTGTTTGTTTGTGTTTATTTGTGTATGCAGATGAAAATGCTATACATGAAAAATAAAGATCTAATATCTTTATTATGAGATCATCCTGAAGGAATGGACTAGAACTATTTACTATAACTTAACACAGAATAAAAATGTGTGAAAATCAGTATCCTATTCCAATAAGAATACATTTACTTTTTCAGTCCTTGAAATATAAGATTTACTTTAATTGTTCATAAAAGGATTTCTATCAGTCATAAAGATCCCATGAATCAAAATGGAGTTTGACAATGGGATTACTGTCTTTTTATTTGTAACAAAACAGCTTCATTAGATTATGCTGTGTTGTTATCCTGAAGTAAACCTAGTCATGCATGAACAAAAAAAGGGAAAAGGTAATAGAAAATAGAGCTAGAAGGGACTTAAGATGTCACCTAGATCCTTACATCTATGTGCAAGCACACAAAATAATTTTATATGAATCTTTACTGAAATATGTCTAATGTGGTTTTAAAAGCTATAGTGACAGAGACTATCAAGCACCCTAGCCTTGTGTTACCATACTTCACTCCCTTCTAATATTAATACTAATTTCCTGTTACTGAAACACAGGGCCATGACTTTTTGCTGAATCCAAAAGGAGCTTGGAGAGAATTGTCCCCTAGGTAGGGTCCATCAAAGAACCAAAAAAAACTATGTACTGTTGTCTTCATAAGCATATTATTCTGAAAGCGTTACTTTTCTAACAGCACTGTGAAGACCTCATCTTTGGAAACAGATGTAGATGCAAGGTCTTGGTATCTGAAGGTTACACAAGGGTAGCCCAAATGAACTGTAGCTCAGGCAAATAGAGGCTGCTGATGTAAATAATGCCTGGAGATTCAACTGGATAAAACATTCTTTGCTTTATTCCTAAATCATTTTGCAGCATGTCTCTGCACTGAAATGATTATACCATAATCCAGTGTACTGGGTTTGTGTGACAAGATTTTGGTAGCAGAAGGGGTACAGGGGTAGCTTCTGTGGGAAGCTGCAAGAAGCTCGCCCCATGTCCAATAGAGCCAATGCCAGTCAGCTCCAAGATGAACCTGCTCTGGTGAAGGCTGAGCCCATCAGTGATGGTGGTATTGTCTCTGGGAAAACATGTTTAAGAAGGGGGAAAGCCCCCCTGGCAATAGCAATTGCAGCCAGAAGAGAAGAATGAGAATATGTGAAACAGCTCTGCAGACACCAAGGTCAATGCAGAGGGATGGGCAGGAGGTGCTCCAGGTGCCAGAGAAGAGATTCCCCTGTAGCCCATGGTGCAGACCATGGTGAGGCAGGCTGTCCCCTGCAGCCCATAGAGGTCCCATGGTGGAGCAGATCTCCACCTGCAGCCTGTGGAGGACCCCACACCAGGGCAGGGGGATGATCAAAGGAAGCTGTGACCCTGTGGGAAGCCTGCTCTGGAGCAGGCTCTTGGCAGGACCTGTGACTCTGTGGGAGACCCACACTGGAGCAGGAACCCCATGGGAAAGACTTGGGTTAGAAAAGTTAGTGGGAAGAGTGTGAGCAGGAAGGAGTGACAGAGACAACATGTGATGGACTGACCACAGCCCCCATTCCTGCACTGCTGGGAGAGGGGAAGAGGCAGAGAAAAATCAGGAGTAAAGAGAAGCCTGGGAAGAAGGGAGGGTTGGGGGAAAGTGTTTTTAAGTTTTGGTTTTATTTTTCATTATCCTACTCTGATTTGTTTGGTAATAAATTAATTTCCCCAAGTTAAGTCTCTTTTGTCCATGACAATAACTGTTGAGTGATCTCTCCCTGTCCTTATCTCAAGCCACGAGCCTTTCATTATATTTTCACTCCCCTGTTCAGCTGAGGAGGGCAGTGATAAAGTGGCTTTGGTGGACACTTGGTGTCCAGCCAGGGTCAACCCACCACAGCCACATAAGTGACATGTGCTGAACTGTTGTCCATGTTATATTCCTGTGTATCAAGATTAGAAATAAATGATTCCTAAATGCCCTGTACTAGGAACCCACACTGCGGAAAAAGGAGCCGTAAACACAAGCTGTACAGTGGACAGCATGAACTTAAGAATAAACAAGAATAACCAGGGGAAAAAAAAGTTTATTTCAAAGGCAGAAACTTGCTGTACATTCATTCTCAATGGTTGAATATGCTCTTGAAATTTTCAATGGGCTGAGTCATTACAAGAATGTGAATCAGAATCTGAGAGCCTATTACAGGTTGAATTGATGGGTGCTGCTATGAACATACAGTTACTGAAATACTACTACATTGATATGGTCATGGCAACTATTTGCCATAGAGGAAAGTGAACACAGGCAGCATATATGCCCTGAAACTTGTTTTTCTCATTATATTTTTGTTCCTAGCATGGAGAAACAGGAGCCCAATGTGACTTTGCATATGACAGCATAGCTATAGGTATAAACCACAGGTAATCGTATCTTTTGAATTAAAGATAATCCAGTTAGATGAAAGCTGTGCCAGTCAACTTGAAATTCTCTGATACTGCATCTTTCCTTTCTCTCTTCTTCAGTCCTGCAAGATAATTTCATTTTGGCAGTTACTTAGCACAATGTGTGTAAGTCTTCAGATCATTTAAAAACTTTATTTCAGACATAGTGGACGACAGGATGACCATGAGCCAACACTGTGCCCTTGTGGCTAAGAAGGCCAATGGCATCCTGGGATGTATTAGAAGGGCGGTGGTTAGTAGGTCCCTCCTTCCCCTCTACTCTGCCCTGGTGAGACCCCATCTGGAATATTGTGTCCAGTTCTGGGCCCCTCAGTTCAAGAAGGACAGGGAGCTGCTGGAGAGAGTCCAGCGCAGGGCAACCAAGATGATTAAGGGAGTGGAGCATCTCCCTTATGAGGAAAGACTAGGGAGCTGGGTCTTTATAGTTTAGAGAAGAGGAGACTGAGGGGTGACCTTATAAGTGTCTATAAATATATAAAGGGGGAGTGTCACGAGGATGGAGCCAGGCTCTACTCAGTGGCAAACAATGATAGGTAAACTGGAACACAAGAGGTTCCACTTAAACTTGAGAAGGAACTTCTTCTCAGTGAGGGTGACGAACACTTAAAAAAAGCTTTCCTGTGTAACGTTATCTAGGTGTTCCTGCTCTGGCAGGGGGATTGGACTAGATGATCTTTTGAGGTCCCTTCCAATCTCCAGCATACTGTGTGTGTGTGTGTGTGATATTAATGCCATTTAGGTTCTGTACTACCATTAACTACTTAAAGAGGAAGAGATGACATGATATGTATTTCTGCATTAGAAACAGAAGTTTGCTTGTTTGCTTAGCAGATGCGGGATGGGTTTGCAGTGTGTTTGACAAACTAGAAAGAAGTCATTGTCCTAAAGTGATCTGCATATCAGCATGGAATGTGTGTCCAGAGGACTGTTGCTTATGGCATTACATAAAATATTTGTAAGATTAAGAGTAAATATCTTGCCAAGAATTGCTTCAGGACACTAAAATTGGACTACTGTCATTAGTGAGGCTGAGTCCAGGCAGGCAAGAGAAATGCCCTTTACCCATGTCATCTTGCAGTCACAGCATAGATGACAATATGTAAAGAGAAGGCCTGTGTTGCTGTGGGATGGCATATGTAACAGTAATATTTTGCATTATTTTAATCTATCTTTTATCACTGAATTATTTATTCATCTTGTCAGTATGTTACAGGTTTTCTGATATTTGCAAGTCTATTTCCAGCCTATGATGGGAGTCACAGACTTTCCTTTCTTTAGTAAGCAACCGCTCAGCAACTCATTTTGCAGCCATGTTTTTAAAAAAAAACAGACTGAAAAAAGACAGAACAAGTGAACCAACCAGAGCCCTGAAAGCTGTTGCTAATATACCAACTACCTGCTCACAAAAAACAGAACTGTTTCTGCCAGGTAGTGTGGAACAAGGAAATTATATCAAACTCAAATTTTAAGCCTTAACAGAAAATCATTGACTTTCTTTTGCTTTTCTCTGTTGGGCACCATTGTTTATACTACATATAGTTGGACAGGTTATGCATGTGTGGATTAAACAGAACATACTCTTCCTGGTTTGTCCTGTGACAGGGGAGTCAACCCCAGATTTCCTTAGTATCTCTTGGATGTGAGACACGGTACCTTTGAAATGAAACTGCTGGTGCTGGCAGAGACACAGAAGTCAGTGGAGATGACTGCAGATGTGACAGCAGAGCTAAAGATGGCTCTGCTGGCCATCATGATTTTCAGCTGATTCACTAGCAACTGAATCACTTCCACAAAATTATTCTGTTGGTCTTGGCTGAGGAGTTTGTCCACAGTTTGCATGCAGTACAGTCTAATCCCCTACCAACCTCTGAGTAACCAAAGAGGCAGATCTTGCAGATTCTCTTACAAAACTTTTCATCTTTTTCTTCTGGTGATCTAGTGTTCTCCATGTGTTTATGAATCCTGGACAGTGGTGGTGGTTCAATGGACTTAGAAGTTCCTGCTAAGAAAATCAAAAAGTGTATTATATTTGGAAAACTAATAGGATTCTCCTACATTTTCTGTGTTAGAGTGAGTTTGAAATCTATATTTCTACCATTTTTGAGTTTTATGAACTTGCTTATTGCCCTATAAAAAACATATCTATTTCTTGAAATGAATATCTGAGTGGGAATGGAAAGGAAGAATGGTTGCCACCACACCAGGTGGCAGAGCCAGGATCTGTATTTTTAAACAAAGCTGTCAGACTAGAGTTTCAGGAGGTAAATCCAGCTGGCAGAACAGATTTGAGTGTTCTTTGCCTGACTTCCAAGTGTCCAGGGAGTAGTATATAAACTTTACAACTGCTAAGTATCTCTTGGTGTGTCTGGGCTGGCAGATGTGCTTATCACTGGAAGTCATCATTGCACTGTATGGAAGGGAGAGGAAGGGAGAGGAAAAAGAGTTTTCATCAAGAAATGCTACATTGCCCATGGGAAGTATGTCAGATCTGATGTCTTCCCTCACCCACTAAAATGGTGTTTCCTTGTTCTCTTTGGCATTGGGCAAAGCTTTTATTCAAATTAGTTTAAAAACTTTATTTTGATATCAGTATGAACAAATTTCTAAAATTAGCAAATTTCTAAAATAAGCAAATTTCTAAAATTTTTAATGTCGTTGCTAACCCTGCATTTTTTTCATGGAATCTTGTGAAAAATGGTTATAGACACAGTTGGGAAGGATAGACAGTTACCCATTTAAATCTTTGTCTTCAGGTTCTATCCTGTGCTCTGGGATAAGAAGATGAGGAAGAAAAAAGGTGGCTTAAGGATACAACTTCTGTTAGTTAAAGCAAGACGGGTCTCATCAATATAGACTGTATTTGTCATAGCCCATAATTTTCTCCTTCCTAAGTCTCCCCAAACATAATAAGGTACAGGTGGCACTTACCATAGCAAGGGTCCTGACGTTCTCTTTCTTCAGGTTGCTTATTGTGCACATTTTAAAGGGCTCTTGAGGTGCCTCTGAGTTCATTCAGCCATGCAGATTTATTGTGGGTTTGGTTCCAGTCTGATCTCAAGACTCTGTCATGGTCTCTTCTGCAAATGACTCCTTGCCCCTATTTTCAGCCTAAAAATCATACTGCTGTCATGAAAGACAGAGCTGTCTGTTTGCAAGGACGGCAGTGGTAGAGTCTATTAGAGAAGGACCTATACAAAATGTATTTCTGGGCCTGCAACACTGTCCCTGACTTTTAGCACAAATCTTTAGATAATTGTGCATGAAAGTACAGCATTTGTCTCTACTTGCATCTGGATGGTCTTGGGGCTTGGTATTTTTAGTGCTACTTCTACTAAATCATAATCTTATGTTTTAGCACAGGGGGGTATGTCAATAGCATGCTTACTTTCTCTACTGTTGGCAGAGACTAAATAATAAGAAAGTTTAAACCAGACTTCTTGGACAATGAAGGACTTAGGGCCCTGAGAAGGAATATATATGGTCAGAAAGCCTCTAGTGAGGAAATGTGGTATTAAGCCTGGAAGACTAAGGTATAGGTAAACAGAGGTATTAATGGCAGGCTGCCCAAACGCTATCTTCACTCTATCCATTGGGTGAGTAGGAGAACAAGGGACAACTTACTGTGTGCTCTGTTTCAAAGTGCCTTGAATACAGCTTGCATTCAGGCCACCCATGCCATCCCATGCCATCCCATCCATCATCTGTCTGTGCCCTCACCCCAACAGTTTTCTATTTGAAGCAATGAAGAAAGCAAGGTTTGCTCAACATGGATGGTGAACCAGTCGGTAGTTTAACCTCTCTAATGATTTCCAAATTTATTCCTTTACAAGCCATGAAAAGTTAGTGGAAACTCTGCTCTTCATGTGAACTGAAATCTTGGCGCTCTGTATTGAGCCACTAACAATTTTTTCTCATCTGCTTTAGAATTTCAGTCAATCCCTGCAGAGGGCAGTAATGATATTTTTCTCACTGAGCACAGACATAGACTGCAAGTTTTTATTACTTTTTTTTTCGTGTAAATCACACACTGGGTAAGATGAGTAAGTACTCTGAAGCAATACTAACTGTCTTTGTTGGGTGTGCACATGCTACGTCTTACTCATATGACTGGAGTATAATAATAACCAAGATCTGAGATGATCTAGATGTATGCACCTTCTTGATAAACCAAATATTTTGGTCATGCAATTTCATTTTTTGTATTATTCTGGCTAAGTAGGGAGGCACTTCTGTGAAGCTAAATGGCCAATAAGGAACGGAAATCCAAATTGCATATCTAACGGTCCACTTGTTCTTTAAATCTTTGAAATGAGATGTGTGTTGTTCCAAAAGTTCCCTCTTTGAAATCAATAGTCTACTTGCAGCATTCAGCATCACTCGACATGGATGACTGTGTTGTGCCATATATTACAAAAAGGAATCTTTTAGTTGCGGATTTTAACAGATTAGATATCGTGGATGTTAGTAGAAAATAAATCTGATTACTAAGCTTAACAGCTGTTTAATTCACAAAATTATGTGACTAAGTTTTGTTTTTTGAGTCAGATTATCACTGCCAGTTCTAGCTGGATTACAGTACACTCAAACTTGATATATTTGTCATTTAGTTGCCTGGGACATCAACTTGCAAAGAAATTATAGGTTAATTCAGATGATATAAAGCAATGTCATAGGAAAGAGATTTCCAACTAATTATTATTTTTACACCGGAGGCAATATCTCCTGTGACGATTCATGACTTTAGCAAAAGATGAGATGAATTCTTTTCAAAAAGTTGGAGTACATTTGACAAGAATACCTACCTACACAATGTCATGATGGGTGCAGCTAGTAATGTATAATTACTTAAAAGTGTTGTCAGAGTACACTTGATAGGGTTCACATTTAGGTGTGACAAATACTTTTAAATATACTTCACTGGTTATAAAAATACTTATGAAGTATTTTTTTTTTTTTTGCAGCTCAAGTACCACTCACTACAGCAGTTCAGGAGCTGATTATAATTCTGACAGGCATTTTCATCAGTACAGCATTCAACAGAGAAGATGGTTAAACAAAAAACTAGCTAAGGTCTTCTGGTCTTTGGAGTGCAGAACCCTCCATTTATACATTGCTTCCTTGCCCTTGAGAATCACACTAACTCACTTAAAATCTGGGCCTTGTTAAAATTTCATTTGCCCCTCCACAACCTTACATGTACTCTTAGAAACCCATAAGAGCATTTTCTGAATAATTGGCTGAAGCACCCTTTTATCCTTCAGTTTAACTGTGAAAAAGATATCAATCCATATTCATAAACATGGACCAACTGTATTGGTCCATGTATGTATGAGTGTGTGGTGTACGAGTAGATAAAAACCAGTCATTTTTGTTGCCTCATTTTAGTGACACAAATCACAAGAGATATGAATGCAATTTTCTCTGTTATCACACAGAATAAGGGCATAAATTTCCAAATTTATCAATCCTGAGAATTACTGAGAAAGTAACTGGCTGAAAACAGGTACTCTCGGCCTTAACTTTAGTCATGCAGTTCCCTTCTATAGTTTGCCTTGATGGTGAATGACAACCGCTGGCAGGTATTTACCATCATAATTATTTGTTTTTTTTTATTTCCTTCTGGTTTTGCTCAAAACATTGTAAAAGCCATAAATATTAGATGGCCTTGACAACTTCACAGTAGCGAAAGCAAAAAAATTGCACAAAGAAGTTCAGAACGACATCAGATCAGGAAATGATGTAATGACCTGCTTTAGAAAAAATACACTTTATGTGTACAAATTTAAAAGCATAGCTATTTGTATTTTTGCTTCATCTGAATAATTGTGCATATGAACTGATTCCCATTATTACTTTTGACAGATTTTTAAAGTACTGAGATTTTATAGAATTTAGTATGGAAAATAAAACTGGAAATTTACATGAAATGCTGAGGAAAGAAAATGTACTTTGAAAAATTCATGTATAAGTACAAATACTTACCTTTGTGTTTGGGTGGCATAACTGTTATCATATGCCTCATAGCTTGGTTCGTCATATTCACCTCCATATCCATCATCATATCCCTAAGGGAAAAACAGAACGCCACAGCTTAGAAGAGAGATAAATCAAAGTATATTATCAACTTGTAATTTGTGTCAACATATACATACTATGCTTGCCCCGTATTATGTAAAACATGCAGCCTACTGATGAGATTTGTGATTTGTGAAAAACAACATGTACATTGCAAGGGTAAAAAAAAATTCATTATTCACTTAATAACTTGCCTTATTCATTGATAAACTGTGGTGTCCAAACCACAGTGCTTCAGTGGGATCTATGTAGAATACTGATGAATGATAATAAAAACAATGATTTCTTATTTTTTATATAAACGGTTTGATAAATACCTATAGATGAAATGCAAAAATGGCAGGAAAAACATATTGACTGTAAAACATTATTAAGAATTTTATTGTGATAGGATCATAATCTCCAGTGTATTTAACACTCCCCCAACCTGTGAGAAAAAAATTTGTGCATGTTTGTGAAGGAAGCAATGGATTATAATTTTTTATAAATATGTTACAGTAAGCACTTTTTCCTTCATTGAGCATCCCACTCTCTTTAAAGGCATGCTTTTCTGTGACAAGTTAATGAAGACTTTAATGCAGATTTCTCCCATCTTACTTAGGGCTCCTAACTGAAGGGCTCAGACAAATGCTCTGTCTGCCTAAGCTAGAGAAACACAAGTAACTTCAGAAGGTAGTTCAGCTCATCTAATGCCTGTATCTTCTACTGAGGGTGCAGTGGGCAATTATGATCTGTTGTAGCTGCCTCTGAACCAAGGAGTGCACAGGAACCAGAAAATAAAAAAAAAATATTTAATCCAGTGGATAACTTTTGATATGCTCTTTTCATAGAACAGAGTAGGCAAAAAAATGCTGCATGGAAACAGTTTTTTCTCTCTAAATTTTGGGAGCCAGTATTTTTAGTTAAATAGAAACCAAACATTTTGTAGTCACAATAAAAATTTCCTGTTATAGGAAGTGCCAAAGGAAATAGAGGGCTTAAAAATCTTTGACTCAATATTAATTACACCAGAAGGCAATTTGTTGTTTTTTTTTTACTTGCAACCTATGTAAAGTTTAGCTAGCTTGGGCTAGAAGGGACAGCATGAGGCAGCTCCAAAATAACAGCAGCCCAATAACAATTACTCTGGTACAATATCATAACCACACAAAGTACAGAATCAGTTTGTTAATTCATTATTTCTGGTAATTAAACTCTGTAATGGTATCGAACTAAACTTCACTGGTACACCTATTTTAAGTAAAACATAAAATGAGGATATATTCAGTTATGTCTGATCAGGTCAAGCACATTAAATATACTTCTCCTTGTGGTCTCTCACCCAGCAGTGAGGGTGAGTGTGGATTCCAGGTGGGAGGTTTTCACCCTTGAGGGGTGCTGCGTTTCCTAAAAGAAGGACAGGACTTTGGATGGTGACTACTTCTTAGGCATTCACATCAGTTTGCAGTAAGGGAAAGCTTTTCTTGAGGAAGAGGGAGAGTCCTGTTTTGGGGAACAGCCTTTCCCAGAATTTGAAGTGTTCAAAAACCTCATCTTCCATTTTAGGTGGAAGCTCATCAGTTTGACTTGCCTTCATTAATATAAACTCAGAGCAAAAAGTACAGTTAAACACCTATCCCTGCAGACTACAGCAACATATTTAACGTCATTCAGCTAAATACACAATCTTGCTTCTGGGGACAGGATAAGAGAAACAATGAACCACAGAAGATAGATGTTAGTCACATTGATCAGTATGCTACTGGGTGAGATCCTGCTATTGTGAAGATGAGGGTGATGCAAATTCCTGTATAAAGCTGAGTAGCTAGAGGAAAGACATTTCAGCATGCTTACGCACCACATGAGAGAACAGGAAGGGCAACAATTACGAATTAGTTTTCTCAGTTTCTTGATGCCTGAGGTGGATTAATGTTCAGCAACAGCAGGGCAGAGAACACTTGTTAATATCTGACATTTCTGTGGGTTCATGTTACAGATTGTAACAGCCTCCCTGAAGGCTCAGAGCGGGTCAATACAGTGCAAATGGTTCAAGTGGAATGGTTGGAAAACAAAAGAAAAATGCATAATGTATCTATAATAAAGAAAAAATACTTTCTGGATTATGTTTTCTTATTTGTGTTCACCTGTATCAGAATTATCTTCTAATACTACAGGTGAACTATTTCTGCAAAGTACATACTAGCTTTTTTTTTTTCTTTGACACCCTTGTCCCAAAGAAGCCTTTAGGCATCTAGAATTGAGATCCAAAACAGCTTTCACATCCTTGAAGTGCCTCAAACTTCTCTTTAACCTTCATCTCCCCAGAACCTACAACTTTAATGTTTGAAAGTATTTCTTCCATGCACATTTTGAGAGATGAAATACTCAGGTCTCATGTAGATCCTGTTAAGATCCAGAAGCTACAAATTTGAGGATGTTCAAATTCACATATTCTACACTCTGTGTGTGGTGAGGAGAGTGCTTCCAAGAGCAGTTCTCTATAAATCCTGAGACCATAACCCAGGATGCCCTCTCCAAATGCATTGCAATCTTTTAATTCGCAATAGAGTCAGACTCCTTCATGCACTCTCTAGGTCTGTTAGTTCTCTTATTAAAGCCAAACCAACCAACCATATTAAACTGATAAACACTCTGTATACGTATGCTGATAGGAACAGAGCTGTCCTCTTAGACAATCTAAGTTACTAGTGCTATATCACCACTTCACTGAAGGAAAAAGGATTGATTACCCACACTGCAGTTTTTTGAATGTGACTTTCTTCTTCTGTAATTTCTATAATTTCATTTATTTCACCAGAAATCTTCACATGTGTTTAACAAACCATCCACCCTGTAAACTGTAATTCCTTTTAATTGAGGTCTGTGCTTTTCAAGCAGAAATCTCAGGTAAAGTGACTTTGGACATGATCTGATCCATGTCTGCCACTGGAGAATCCACCTCCACTCTCATCAGACTATTAGAATTGTATACAAAGTTGATAGGGTCAAGCCACCTGGTTTCAGTGGAAGGGAGGAAAGCACTTCCCTAAATCTTCACAATTCTTTGAAGAGGTCAATGAGAGCATAGACAGGCAGGACCTGAGGAGAAACAGGTTCCTCTGAACCTTTGAAGTTACTGATGAGGTTTAATTTTCAAGGCTACCCAAGAGGTTGGGGTTGGTTGCCTGGGAAGACTTTTCCTCTGTGAGGAGACTTTTTACACATGGTAGCTGCCACCACTCAGAAGAAAAAATCTTACTGGAATGAACTGAAGAATATGAAACAAGAGGAACTGCTAGAAATAGTCAAACTGATAGCCATTTCTAGGGTAGGATTTTATGCCAAGGTATTTTTATCTCAGGTATTTCTAATTAAAATATCTTTCTGAAACATATGAAAAAGACCTCTTTACTTTGTGTCAGGGGAAAGGAAAGTGAGTCTTTCAATGACTAGGATTTGCTCTGGCCTTACAGTGCTACATCCTTAACCAAAGATAAAGGAACAGAAAGGCTAACAATGTTTATTAAAAAATCTGGATGATTTTTAGGGGGTTTGGTATAGTTTAGAATTAAAAAAGAATAAATAATGAAAAAGGAAAATATTAAAATATAGCTAAATTAAAAAAAAAAATAAAGTGAAAATGAACATATTTAAGTATCACAGCAGCCTTATCAGAAGGGCGCCTACAAGGATGCTGGAGAGGGACTCTTCATTAGGGACTATAGTGATAGGACAAGGGGTAATGGGTTCAAACTCAAACAGGGGAAGTTTAGACTGGATATAAGGAAGAAGTTCTTTACTGTTAGGGTGGTGAGGCACTGGAATGGGTTGCCCAAAGAAGTGGTAAATGCATCATCCCTGGCAGTGTTTAAGGCCAGGCTGGACAGAGCCTTGGGTGACATGGTCTAGTTTGAGGCATCCCTGCCCATGGCAGGGGGGGTGAAACTAGTTGATGGACCTTTGCAACCCAAACCATTCTGTGATTCTATGATTTACGAGTCTTTGCCTACAATGTGAAGACAGGAAAAACTCTCTGAAGAATCCCAGAATAGCACATAAACTTAGCATTTTTGAACACTCACTTCAGGAGCAAATACACACTATTCTATCACTGATAAAAAGAAATTGTAGTCAGGGAAAAAAGGGATGTAGAAGAATAAAAGGGACATAATTGGAAAAAAAGCTTATATTCTACTACCTGAGAAAATGTTAAGTATCAATTTGATTCAATGCCCAAGGCATCATTGAGAAAGATTTATTTCTTTAGATTTACTCAAATCCTCTCCGAGTTTCAGATGCTGAAACAAATATTAGATACACAAACAAAATAAATATCATCAGTAACAAGGGTATCATAACCTAATGCAAACCGATCTCTTTAAACATGAATTTCCTACTTCACACAATAACAGCCCACACTCAAATGCAGCAAGTTTAAATCACCTCTTCTCTGAATAGCCTTGGAAAATAGAATTTTCACAGCATGCTCTGAAAAATGGTAGGCTTCCACTCTGGGAAACCTAGGATGAAATAATTCTAATAGTTCTAATGAAAAGTCACAATATTTTATGTATGCCTTGGTAATACTTGATAAAATACTTTGTAAGGAAGTAAAAACTATTTTTATATATATAAGATAGCCCAAATCCTTCTAAAGTAGCTAACTGCAAAATATCTAGACTTTTTTATTAAAAAAAAAAAAAAGCAAATCACAAATAACAGTAAGTCATAGTAAATTGAGTTATACAACTCTATTTGGCAAAGTACAAGAAAAATGTCTGCAGCCAGAGAACCAGGGTAACCTTTCTCAATAGCTACACCCCGCTGTACACAAAAATTAGTACTATACCTCAGAGAAGGTGAGGGTATAAAAATCTACCCCTATCTGCAACTCTAAGTAAACCCAGTTGTTTCCCAGTAAAAGGAGTCTTTGTAGTCTCCACTATTTCCTTTTCCTTCACTCTCTTTTCTGTTGTGACTTGTCCACATCTGTATTTTCTCACACGTTCTT